TTTACTAATGTCTTTCATGGCTTATTAATTGCATAGTGGAAGACTGACTTTCTGCAGTGGTCATTAATCTTTTGTTTTCGATCCCATCAAAGAGCCTATGGGGGGTTACACTTGTACACATGCAGAGGGAATATTAATATCACATGGGTTTCTCGTTTTCTGCCCGAGTCCCAATTTCCGTGCTGAATCCATTTCATTAGGGTTACAACTGAGTCGGGTACTAATCGCTGCCATTGTTTTTCTTTGTATTGATTTCTCATTGTGTTGTGGATGATAAATGATGGTCAGATGCGGTGATGTACTTTGTCCAATCTAAATGACTTAAACTCAAAATGTGTGGCACAGAGTAATGGGCCACAGTTTTCTCTGAGGCTTATCGGCCTCGTGAGCCACCGTACGTCTCCACCGACTGAGAGATCGGAGGGGAAGTGTTACTGTAGAAACAACTGTCTTAGCCTCAGGAAAAGTCAGTGCAGTCGCACCTCGTACATCTGCAAGAAGAGAGCAAGCACCCCAGAAATGGAGCTTTCTCCTTTTTCGGTACCTCGTCTGTCTGTTTGTGTTTCGATCCCTTCTCTTTATCAAGCATGCATTTGTCTTCATGCTGGCAGTTCAACATGTCAGTATCATGTTTGACTTTTTAATACTTTATTTAATGATCATTGTTTTGAAGATAAAAGGCAGAGGCGGTTTTATATGTACAGTATAGCTCGGTGATAAGCATACAGTGATTGGGTTGTTATTGTTGTTTAGGTGGAAAATTGGAAACTTGGGATCATCTACTAAAATATTATTCTTCAGTAAGCTTCAGAAAGTGTTTCTAATACCTCAAAACTTGTAATGCTTCTTTTGTGAAAAATACTTTTTTGTCAGGCAGCTTATCTTTCCCAAAGCAAAATGATAAGTCGTTCCTGTAAGTCATTGTAAAATTGCACAGGTTGTTTTTCTTCTGTGAGGGAGCTGTGCACTGTTTGGTTTCCATAAAGCAGAAACTGAGTAAAGACCTGGCATTTTAGAGATCACAAACCCATCTGGGTAAATATTCAGTAAGCATTATTCAGGATTAGGAAGAGGCACCTCTTCACCAGTGATCTGGTTACATGTATACAAGACTTTCTGCCAAGAACAAGAGTATCAGGATGCATTCCCACATATAATGAAGCTGAGATCCATTCAGACAATTACATTTATTGTCGAATAAATTTTTACAGTTTCTGATTCGCCAGAATAACCTCCTTATAACTCCTCTTCCTCGGGTAAATCATTGGTCAGATCTGTTCACCATGCAGTACTTTATGAAATGATTCTTTGTGTATAATTTGTGTCATAAAGAAATCTTCTAAGGTAGATTGAGAGGGAAGATTCATGTCATTAGACTGCCCAGCCAGTATAAAATTTCACAGTTGAAGATATTTTAAAAAAAATGCTTTGAAGGTATGCCAAACATAGTCCCAAGTTCTTCAAAAGACATAAAGTTATTGCTGATCACGGTAGAGATCAGTCCTGGCTGTACGCTGTATTGTCCAAGACTCGTGGGTCAGCTCTAGCTGGTCAACAAAAACATGATCAAAAAATTGGGAATAAACAACTTAAAAAAGTGCAATATCACCCCGTGACATTTTTAATGTGTTTTGGAAAAATCAGTATACAGTGTTGTGTGTTTTACAAGCTATTACAGCATAAAATCACAGAATAAATGGGCAGACACTACAGTTTTGACACTGCCTGATATGTAACAGCAAATGCAACCACCCTGCAAAGTGAAATAATAGTGCTTGAAACCAGCAGTTATTGTCAGATCATCACAGAGGCACCTGGCCAGCTGTCCACTTGAATACACTCCACACCTCCTCAATGCCTAGAAGACACAGAAATATAAGGCTGTATATGGATGGATGTTTTCTATAACTATAATAGATTTCTATCAATTAGGGTCTCAAGAGCCATTTCTTATTTGATGTCAGAAGGGAGAAAAATTCCCAGATTTTACATATTGCTGATTAATAGCTGCGCAAATACAGTCTCAATATATCGCAGTATGTTGCTGGGATTTATTCATTTGTACATACATCATTCCAGTGCTGTAATAAGCTTGTTCACATGAGACATGTGCTTGTGTGTTTATTTCAGGTGGATAAATTACCTATATTTACAGAAAGAGGTAAAACGTTCAGATAAAAATATTTAAAAGGAGAACATTTTTATATTTTACCTGCTGCTGCTCCCTCGGTGTTGGCTCTACATGCATAATTCTTCACCTGTGATGTAACATTGTAAGCCAACAGACTTGAGCTTTGCTGGTCCTAGAAAACAGAATCACAGGAGTACCATATAACTGTCCCATTGACCCAAATGGAAAGTGGGCGTGAGGGTTTCTGGCACACAAATGAAACACTGTTGTGTGCAGCAAAATGTAGCCCATATCATAAAGAAAGTATTTATTGGAGTGGTAAAACAGGTTTTGACCGAAATATGATATTCGACGACCTCTCCTCTCCCCCTAATGACGAGTTTTGACACCTCATTATAAATCAATAAAGAATTTGATGACCGTTTGAGTAGTTTCTTCTTCTTTTTTTCAATTGGCAGCTCATAGGTAGAGACCAACCTCACTCTCTTCTGATGGAAAATCTGGGATTTAGTTCTATAACCAACCCTGCAATATGACAGAAACCACTCAGTTCAGAGAAGAGCTTCAAGGGTTATTCCTAGTAGGCTTTCGAGGGGAAAAGAGGCACTCGGAGCCAAATCCTAGAAGATTATTATTCTACATTCCCACTTGGCTACTTGCCACAAGGAGCCGCTACGGAGGGTATGTGGCCAGGGTTACCCTTTGTAACACAACCCCAAAGGGGATTTGTGTCACCAGCTACAAACAAGCCGGTGTTGACCACTACAACGTTACTACTCCATGCAACACTTATGTTTTCATTTAAAACACCTTAGTCCTCACAAGTACGGACCCGCAGTAAATGGTAAATGGCGCTTTAAGAGTCCCTAAGGACCCCAAAGAGCTTTACACATTCAGTCTTCCACCCATTCACACACACATTCACACACTGGTGATGGCAAGCTACATTGTAGCTGGGGCACACTGACAGAGGCGAGGCTGCCGGACACTGGTGCCACCGGGTCCTCTGACCACCACTAGTAGGCAACGGGTGAAGTGTCTTGCCCAAGGACACAACGACCGAGACTGTCCAAGCCGGGGCTCGAACCAGCAACCTTCCGATTACAAGGCGAACTCCCAACTCTTGAGCCACGATC